GGGACCGGAGCGGAGTGACATCTTAAAAATTAGGAGGCGTTGTTCAGTTGATGGTTTCCGCGGCGGATAAACAAACGAGGTGCAGATGTTAGGATACGATGAATATGACGGGAGGCAGGGAGGGACAGCAGCTACTATTACAGCTCTAGAAAATATGGATATGGAGCTTAAATAAATATCATGACGGCCGGCTAAAGGAGGATAAAATCAGATGGCGTGCCCATGGTCGCGACCGCGATCGATCCCTTCTCTGCAAGAAAGCAAGATCCAAATACGGCGACGCGTCAAAAGAAAATATCGGGCCTGGACACTCTGATAATTTAAACGTCGGACACTTGCTTGTGTAAGAGCTGGCGTAGAAGCTTGCAGACATTCAGCCGTGCGGTCGTCGTGTCGTGGGATGGAGCGACAATTCTGCTAGTGTTCATTTGTTAGAGTTCTTCGTCAGCGCTGGAGATTGAAATGAAGAAGCTTAGAAGGCTAACCAGATCATTAAAAAAAAGATCAGCCGGTCGACCGAGACTCTGGATCATCGAGCTAGCGTAGTGAAATTTTTGTATTTTGGTCTCTTTTGAAAATAATTTTTAGAAAAATACCCACGCCAAAACATTTTCTAAAAATAGACCATTTTTAGGCGTCTTAGAACATGACGCCGAGGTATGGGGGTCGGCGTCGAGTGACACGACGCCGAGGTATTGCCACATCACGGACGACCGGGGTCGTCGGTGACACGGTGGCGCGTGGGTCCGAGACTTCGGCGTCGTGTCATCCAACGCCAAGGGTCCAACCTCGGCGCGGCTGGACGGCGCGCCGAGCTATTGGCACCATCCGGCGCGCGGCCCAGGCGGCCCAACAACGCACGGTGGCCCAGTAGCTCGGCGTTGGGTCATTTAACGCCGAGCCTCTAGACCTCGGCGCGGCCCGACTCAACGCCGAGGTCCGGTCCCTTGAGGCCGCGCCGAGGCCCCCTTCTTCTTCCTCCCTCCATTCTGAAGATCGCCGGCCTCCTCTCTTTCTCTTCTCCCCCGCGCCGCCACCAAACCCTAGGCTCTAAAATCGACCCTAGGTGCCACGATCTCGGCTCCCAAAGCTTCCTCGAGGTAATGGTCCCTCCCCTCCTCCATTCTATCCGCGTAGATGTGCTTACATTGTCCCTAATCATGTGGAATCATGGGTGTATGGTGTTTTGGTATATTTGTGTTTGCATTTGCCAATTTCCAATTTCCAAATATTATTTCCAGTGCACGCTGCTTTGCCCTCCATGCTTTCCCATACTTGACATAGTAATTGTACCGTTGGAAGATGATCTCAACCAACGCAGACACCGTAATGGTTGGCATATGCTTCACCACGGGGCATAACTGCCTTGCAATGAACCTAGAATTGATCTGCAGATGGTTCTCTTCTGCCTCAGCAGTGGCACAAACATGTGGTTGCTTCACTGAGGTAATCTTCCATTTGTCTGCCTTCGTCTTCCTAGCACATACTCTCCAACCACACTGTTGTTCTTCACAAGCAACAGTGTACCTCTTCTCCTTGAATGAATTGATGACCCTAAAAGGTCAGTTGTGTACAATGGAGTACTCTTGCAACCATGATTTCAACTCATCCATGGTAGCAAACAATATGCCCTTCCGTATGATGAGGCAACCGCTAACATCAGGCACAGTTGTATCACTTGGCCCACCATCAGCTACTGCCCGATGACCATGGCTAAGGTCCTCGAAATCACCAACTAGTGGATCTCTCCAAGGCAAGACCCTAGACAATATCTCTATTTCCCTAAAATTGAGACGACCAACAGGGCGATCGTCATCAGAGTCTTCGGCTATCTCCTCTACGAAGGATTCATCATCTCCAGCTATCTCTATGTCAAAACGGTTCGTAGCCCTAGCATCACCAAAGTCTTCTTCACCACTAAGATCATCTTCGTCGCTAAGCTCATCCTCAATAGAAAAGTCTCCGCTAGCGTCGTCCAAACCTTCTTCTGCATCACCAATTACATAATCATCATCCTCTTCATCACTATCATGATTGCCCTCACCATCGGCAACCGGATTCTCTTCCTCATCTCCACTGTAGCCTAGTTGTGTGACAAGTATTTCTTCTTCAGACAAAGGACCATAACCTATGTGAGCGGGGGAAGATGGCCATGCTTCGAAGCTATCATTTCCTAAGTCGGACTCCTAACTTACTACTAAATCCAAAGATCGCACTTCTGAGGCCAATACAACTGCATTGTAATCATTCCATTCAGTTTCGCTTGTAATTTTGAGCAACCGCTTGATCCGAGGACTCTTCGATGACCCAACATCTATGACACCTTCAAACTGAACATGCACGTCTCCTTCATTCCAGCCTAACTTAACCTTTACTCGCTCCACTAACTGGGTCAAAGATGGTGTTTTAGAAAAAATCAACAACTCCTCACACATGTCTAGAAATTCCAAACTATCATCTCTTGTCCTAACAATACGGCCTCCATGATGCAACCTCACTAATTTATCCATCTACAGCCATCACACAACAAGTAGTGTCACATATCAATATATCATGCGAGTTTCAATCCAATAAGTAGAAACTAAAATATATCATTTCATCTTTTTCAACCCCAACAACATAATCATTTCTAGTCATACAAAATTGAAATGTAATGACCAACAAATAAATAAAATACAAACTAACCCTAATGACCAATAAATAACTAACCCTAATGACACCTACAATAAACAAAGAACCCTAATGACCAAAATAACTAGAAACCAAACTAACCTAACATGTTCAGCACATAAAACAGTTAAACAACAATACACTTAATCATCCTAAGCCATACATTTTGCAAATGCAAACACAAATATACCAAAACACCATACACCCATGATTCCACATGATTAGGGACAATGTAAGCACATCTACGCGGATAGAATGGAGGAGGGGATGGACCATTACCTCGAGGAAGCTTCGGGAGTCGAGATCGTGTCACCTAGGGTCGATTTTGGAGCCTAGGGTTTGGTGGCGACGCGGGGGAGAAGAGAAAGAGAGGAGGCCGGCGGTTTCAGAATGGATGGAGGAAGAAGAAGGGGGCCTCGGCGCGGCCTCAACGGACCGGACCTCGGCGTTGAGTCGGGCCGCGCCGAGGTCTGGAGGCTCGGCGTTAAGTGACCCAACGTCGAGCTACTGGGCCACCGTGCGTTGTTGGGCCGCCTGGGCCGCGCGCCGGATGGTGCCAATAGCTCGGCGCGCCGTCCAGCCGCGCCGAGGTTGGGCCCTTGGCGTTGGATGACACGACGCCGAAGTCTCGGACCCACGCGCCACCGTGTCGCCGACGACCCCGGTCGTCCGTGACGTGGCAATACCTCGGTGTCGTGTCACTCGACGCCGACCCCCATACCTCGGCGTCATGTTCTAAGACGCCTAAAAATTGTCTATTTTCAGAAAATATTTTGACGTGGGTATTTTTCTAAAAATTATTTTCAAAAGAGACCAAAATAAAAAAATTCACGCTAGCGTATGTGATCGATCGATCAAGCCGCGACCGCGACTGGATCAGTCTAGCTGGAGAACCAATTAATTTGGTATGGCCAAGTGTATTTCTTGCTACGTGGACAGCTTCCCGGCCAAGCGCTCCAAACGAACAGGAACTTTAATACGTCGACAGGGACAATGATGGGGTGACGGGCTGATGGATGGATAGGATGATGTGCAGTTGAGTACAGCAACGACCCAACATTTTCAATACCGCGGTCTCCTCCGATCCGGGCGTTCGGCGACGCACCACCCTGCCGAGCTCGGCGCCAAAATCTACGGCGTCGAGCTCGGCGTCGAGATCTACGGTGTCAAGCTGTCTGTCATGTCATCGTTATATCTCCGTCGAGCCTAATAGCTCGGTGACAGCAACGATGGTCCCGAGTTAAGGGTCCAGATTTTAAAATCTTATCTCCAGAGACATATTTGTGATTTTTTTTAAAAAAATGCTAAAAATAAAAAATTCAGACATGCAGACGCAATGGTGTGGCCGAACCTGACCGTGACCGTACCTCCCCCCACTCCCACCACGCCCAGGCAGTGGTGCCACTTCTACATCTACTGGGTTGGTTCATGGGTTGGGTTCCAAGCAGGGGCAGAGCCAAGGCCGGTGCTGCTTGGGCTGGAGCACCGGCCTTTGTCTCTAGAACCTCATGTAATGCACTAATGCTAAGAAAAATTGCTCAAAAAAACTAATGCCTATGCATATGATGCTTGCTTCGAGTAAAATAGTCCTCTAAAATCAAAATGTAATTTGGTTATAATAATTTTAGATCCCTTGTTTGCTTCGGCATCTCTTTTGTATATATCCTTTCTAGCTCTACTACTGGTTTCGAGTAATGCCTTGGTTGTCGAGCAACTGCAGCTACAACGGGGACTGGAGTGACATCTTAAAAATTAGGAGGTTGTATGGTTTATGCGGCTGATAAACGAACGAGGCGCAGATGTTAGGATATGATGAATATGACGGGAGGCAGGGAGGGAGCACCAGCAGGCCAGCAGCTACTATTACAGCTCTATAAAATATGGATATGGAGCTTAAATAAATATCATGACGGCCGGCTAAAGGAGGATAAAATCAGATGGCGTGCCCATGGCCGCGACCGCGATCGATCCCTTCTCCTCTGCAAGAAAGCAAAATCCAAATACGGCGACGCGTCAAAAGGCGGGAGGGACATCATCGAGCACAACTGCAGCTCAACCGTCTCCCTCTCGCACAAGCAACGTCTTCTTCCGCCTGCGCGAGAAAAGAAAGCCTTTGCCGCTACTCGAATTCGAACCCCTCACACTCACAGGGCAGCAGCCACAAGGCAAAAGCCATTAAAAAAAAATCTCTACTCAGAAACAAAGCCCAGGGCTGTCCATTCCATTTTTTTCATTTCATTTCATTCCATCCGTGCAAGCAAAGCAACAAGCCTCGATCGGGCCGTCGTCGGTTATCTTCCGGCCGGCGGGAAGGATCGGAGACGGATCGGATGGGCGGCGCCGGGCCGCCGACGTCGTCGTGGCGGGCGGTGGCGGCGGCCGCTGTGGCGCTGTGGCTGGTCCCGGCGGTCCTGGCGCTGGCTGTCCTCTGGCTGCCGCTGCTCTGCTGCGCCGTGGCCGCCGTCCGCTTCCTCAGGGTCAGGAGGAAGCTCGTGGCGGCCAGCAGGAGGAGATCATCGCGTGGCTGCTGCGACGGCGGCGAAGGCCGCGGGGCGGAGGAGATCACGATGGTGGATGATGTCGGAGGCCGGCTCCGGCTCAGGCTGCTGCAGCAGTACCTCGACGACCAGATGGAGCTCGTCGTAGGAGGAGCAGGCCACGAGGAGCAGGAAGAAGATGGAGCCTCCGCTTGTTGATCCGACGGCGAAACAGTAGTAGCGTGCTAACTGATGCTAAGAAGAGACAGAGAAACTGAAACCCAAAGCTTTCCTTTTTCATTTCGGTCTGCAGAATTGCAGTTCGTAGCCTGTAAAACAGGGGAGTTAGCAAAATGAGTTTGCAATTTCTTCCTCGATTGTTGACTTGCAGCTCTTCCCGCTGACATGATGTAAATGTAACCGTGTTATACCTTTCGCTGTCAGTGTCGTACTAACTGCATCATTCGGCGCAATTTTGCGATCCGGTATCGAATTGTAATAGTGTCTCAAACTTTAATATTTTTTTAAGAAAAAAACTAACCTGCTGGTGCAACAAAAGGCCCGATTGGCGGATTGAGATATGTGCCCTGTTCGCTTGGCTGATAAGTTATGGCTGAAAGTACTATTGGCTGATTTATTATGAGAGAAAATACTATTCGTTGGCTTCAAAAAATACGGCTTATAAGCACAGCAAAGAGGGCAATGGGCTTCAACCAGCCGTTTCTTTCTTTCCCGTTGATGCTTTTGATGAGAAGCATGCAGATCTTGTTAGCCTAACGATACTTGGAGCCGCTCGAGAGGTGCCTAATCGTCGCCACGTATCTCTCTTTTTTTTAATAAGGCTCCATGCCAATTTCAAAATGTCAAAAAAAATGTGAAATGCCGGAGAGAGAAGGATGCGATTGAAATGAAATTTCAGCTGCACTGACGTACAACATCACCGTTAGGGACGGATCTAGCGGTGGGACGGGAGGAGCTAAGCCCCCCTACAGCCGCCAAGTCCATGGAGCTTGTGCAGCTCCTACAGGAATTAGTTGCTGGCTGTAAGGACACGGCCTGCCCAAAACTGCAGCCGAGGCCCTCGCACACTTCCTCCACTTGATCATCGTTCATGGGATCTCGAAGAAGATCGGAACGGTGGCTCACAAATGGAGCACCAACCAGCATCGGAGGAGCCCTGGTCTCCTCCCCCTCTTCTACCGAGGAGGGCGCCTTTAGCCTGTCAATACTAGAATGGCTCAGACATATGTGGCATGTAAGCAGGGACAGATCTAGCGGTGAGGTGGGGGGCTCAAGCCTCCCCCTACAGCCGCCAAGTCCATGGAGCCCCTCCCTCCTAAATTTTGTTTCTGTCATGACTGTATTGAGAACGTTGAGAAGCAGTCAAGCAGGGGCTCTGAATCCCGTCGGGAGGTTGAGGACGGCGGCGCTTCAGCCACCAGCAGCCGCGACTTGGGCCATGGGCCAACCCTTTCTCTACTCCCTCAATCGACCTATATTCCAGCCCAATAAGATCCGGCCTTTTTTCCAAGGCCCAACAGGTCACAAACTCATGGCAACTGTCTAAGTGTCTATCGGAGGAAGGCTCATGAGGTGGCGGCGGCAACTCATCGATCCGATGTCTATGCAATAAACCAATTCCCAAGTATCCAATTTCCGTGAAGTTAAGAACAAAATTCTGAGTAGTAGTTATCACATATTCTGAATTTATTATATTCAGTTATCACATATGATGATATATGAGCATGTTGTTCATTTGATTATTTCTCTAAAAAGTACGACCTTATTTTATTTGGCTAAAGTTGTCTTTGTTTGTATCTAAGCACACCATTTTGACCTTCAATTGTTGTAGTATCTTTCAAATCTTGCTGTAGCAGCAAAAAAAAAAACCTTAAGCTTAATTTATGCTTAATCTACCACCTAGCGCCTTTTAAATTCTCCGGGACATGTTAAATATAGCTATTTTATTTTATTTATGCATATATACAAATGGATATTGGTTGTTGCTACAGTATAAATATCGGATGCTTGCTTCAGAATTGTAACAAGCACAGTTCGTGCATTCGTTAAACGTTGAACTTGAGCTACCCTAAACATCCATCCTAATCCGTCCCTGGTCACTGTGTCAGTGCGGTATGGCGGTATCTCTTGCAGTGTGCCTACTTTTCATGCATTCCGGGTCACACTGCGCACAATCAACCTACAAAACAAAAGTGGGCGGTGCGGAGGAGAGGAGCAACGCGGCGCCGATTGATTCCAAACCATGCATGCATTTTGTTTTGTCACATCAGTGTTCATTCATCAAAGCCTCCAAAGGGGTAGCCACCGACTGAGGGACCTCTGGTCCTTTGACAACCGGCCACGGCCAGCAACCACACAATCTGAAAGTGACGAAGCACTACTTCGCCGCGTAGAATTTTGGTATTCTTCTTCACGCTGCGCCTTTAATTTGCGCCCTTATCCTTTTCTTGTATGCGAAAATTAAAACGCAGCTGTGCCATGTTTTACATAATGATGCGTTGAAAATGTCACAATTTACATTGAAGAAGCGGCAATGTTAGCTTTAAGGAGAACATAATATAATACATATACATTGTATATCCGGACTGAAACTCTGAAAGCTACGAAACACTTGTGCAGTACAGAGCCCGTATGATGAAAATGTAATACGGGCAACAAATACTGAACACTTTAGGACCCGCTACTGGTATGCATGCGTCCAGTGTCCTTCAACAGTTGAGAGAGCGAGCATCATTACTCTTGAGAAAAAAAAACCAAGAAAAAAATGCATGATAAAATGCAAGACCAAGTAAAATCGAAAAGCCACTGAGCTGGCGGCAACGGAGGCAATGGGACATGGGCTCAACTGAACGACCTCCTCCTCCTTCTTCTTGTAGCAGTAGAGTAATACGTCCCCTGTCCACTAAAAAATATAATTCTCGTTTTCGAGAAGTTAATTAGTCTGAACTTTGACCAAAATTATATAAAAAAAATAAACATTCATGATATAAAATTAGTATCATTAGATTAGTCATAGAATATATTTTCACAATAAATTTATTTAGAGACATAAATATTAATACAATTTGCTATAAACTTAGGTTAAATTTGAGCTACTTTGACCGGCACGAATATCGTAATTGCATTCTTTTCTGGACAGATGGAGTACTTGTAAACTAGTGGTGTTTGGATTCAGTGACTAAAATTTAGAAGGTGTGTCGGAAAGTATATTGTATGGGGTGTTCGGGTACTAATAAAAAAACAAATTACATAATCCATCAGTACTCCACGAGGCGAATTTTTTAAACCTAATTAATCCTTCATTAGCACATGTTTACTGTAGCACCACATTGTCAAATCATAAACTAATTAGGCTTAAAAGATTCATCTCACAAATTAGTCGCAAACTATGTAATTAGTTTTATAATTAATCTATATTTAATACTCCATGTATATGTCAAACATTCGATGCTAAAATTCAAACACCAAACACCACCACTGATCTATCTATTACTAGAACTGATGTTGCATCGGGAGCACATGGACACGGAGGAGCCATGGAGGGTTCTCCAGATCTGACTCCTGACAGGCATTGAATTGCACTTGCTGCACCCATGAGCAGCAGCAACTGCAGCTCGATCTGCAAGTCAAGGTGGTATTATGGAATATGGATGGACACATTGCATTGGGCGTGTCGTCGTCACGGCAGCCGGCAGGTGATCATGGTTGGCTGATCGCAGCTCCAGAGCCTCCAACTCCTTTGAAAGCAAAACAAAGAAACGAAATCAATGAACTGTCAACACTTGAATTGATTTTCCACCAAGTGCACTGTGTAGTGCCCTCACTTTCACTTATTATTGTCCACCAAACGCACGGGCATACTGTATGGTACTTTGATAATGTCGCATTTCCATTGCTTTTGGAATCTCGGTAACAAAATGTTGCGTGTTAGGGTTTTGCTTGCATGACGAAAACGCTGGGACTTTGGCTACCATTTGCTTCGGCCGCCTTTTTTTTTCTGACCGCCGGGTCTCTTCTGGTTTGTCGCACCTCCGGTTCCTGTTTAAACTCTCTTTTTCTAGTGCACGGTGAATTCAAACAAAAAAAGAAATAGAGAAAAGCAAATGAAACTTTTAGATAAAAAAATGAAAACATTGTGAATCTGTGATCAGCCTCCCCCTGGCCTGAACCTGTTCTGCGAAAAGGGGTGGTTGGACTTAGACGGAACGAGAATCAGTGAAGAATTCAGCAGCACCACCGGTCGTGGGGCCTGTTCACTTGAACTTATCAGCCGATTTATCAGCTAGAATTTATAATATTTCTCTCTCACAACAAATCAGATTCTAGCTGAATTGTTGTGAGAGAAAAATACTATAGACTCTACTGCTGTGTGTTGTCATATCATTCATTTATTGCTCGCTGATCATTTTTTTAGCTGTGTTAAATCACACTCGTGAAGGTCCCCCGTCCAATATAAAATATCATTCTCGCTATCAAAAAATCAAATATTTTTCATTTAACTAAATATAAGAAAAATATTAATATTTATGTTGCATAATTAGTATTATTAGATAGATCGTTAAGTATATATTTATAATAAATTTACTTAGAGATGTAAATGTTGCTAATATTTTTTCTACAAATTTAATCCAACTTAAGAAAGTTTGAGGAGCATGCTCATAGAGACTCTTTTTATGGGATAAAAGGAGTATATTTTTATTAGATTTTTCCCCCTCTCCTTGGTATGTTCCTATTGTTTCTCAATTTTTTTAATTTTTATTAAAATTGCGACTGTGCCATGTTTTGCATATTAGATGTGTTGCCGGTTCCCGTGTCTTGAGTGCAGCAGGCGCCTCTTAAGGCCTCAAAGTGTCTGAATTTACATCAAACCGGATAAAGGATCTCATTTAGAGGAGAGACATTTTGTTTCCTTCTTCTCTATTGAATGGATACCTATATATATAAGAAGTGGACAGGAAACCTAAGAATTTTCGTAACAAAGATTCATCGACTTGTCTCAAAGCTAGAAAGCAGCACTACAGTACAGATCCTGTATATACAGTGAAATTTAACAACAATTACTCAAACATACATATTAATATGGTGTGCATTTGCCCTAGAGCAGCATCTGCAGAAACAAAACAGGGAACTGCAAAGATTCCAGGAACAAGATGGAGTGTAATGTAAGAACAAGCAAATTCCATGGTATATTATATCAGAAAGTTTTTTTTTCTCCTTTGTAGTTAGGCGTCCCGTTTACATATACAATCAAGGAGTAAGGCAGGGTCTCACTTTGTCAGAAGCCCTCTCTCAAGTCAAGTGTGTTGGATGTCAACATCCACGGCCCAACCCAACCCCCAACTGTATCTCCTCTATAGACCACCCTGAATCAGCGAATCCCTGGTCAATCTTTCTAGCATAATGGTGACACTACCTACAGGTTATGAATGTACAAGATACCTGCCTACGCCTACCTAACTGTGTGGCATCAGTCTCAAAACCAAAACACAAAAGGATTTGCCTCGTGTTTATGCTGTCAGGCCTATACCATTACCATCCCATCTTGCTGACACATGCATTCAGGCATTGGGAACGTGTACACAGAATCGTTTGGTTTCCTGGATGCAATGCTCCTCATGTCGCTGTGATGCAGTATTTCCTGCATGTTCTGCTTGAACTGATCCCATCTGAAATTTCAAAAGGATTTAAATAATACACTTCTAAACAAATTATGCCACAACAAAGATTGCCTATCGAGCCATACATTTGAAGGCCAAATAGGAGGTACACTACAATTTGTTGACTGGACTATATATTCAGAAAAGCAGTTGGTTAGGTAAGGAACAACAGCCTAAGTGGACCATTGATCAAAACATATTGTTTTAAGCAGTCGCTTTAGCAAAGAATTATCATCTGAATGGAATCAAAGATGAAAATTATTCTGTGTGATTTGAGTGTAACTAGCAACAAGTGGCAGACTGATTGATTACAGTTACTGATAATGTGTATGATCGCATACAGTTACTAAGTAAATGTAAGATGACTGCTCAAACTGACCTGATATTGGGATCATCAAAAGATAAGACCAGCTTCCGCTTGTCTGGTTTTATTGTCTTCGCATTCCCCCCAAACAGGTAGCGCCTGTGCCCCATCAGAAAGTGAGGGAAGTTTCCCCCTTGTGTTGTCACAAACACTTCGCTCTGAACGCAGACAGTGTAATCTAACGCTGCTAGCTGAGACGAGTGCCCCTATAGAGAATTGGTCGGTGAGTTGGATATAACATAATCCACCAAATAAAAGCAGTATTTATTCTGTCCTCAACCAAAACAGATACTTTTGAACATCAAATGGTTCCAAATTTTTATGTAGTAAATGTAACACCATCATGCATGCATATGAGTGCTGGTGCAAGAAATACCTTGAACTGAGCAAGTTCTTCAGGCGAAGCAAGAGAATCCTTCGTCATTAAAAGAGGGAACATCTGGCGAAGAGGAGCCATATATTTTTCAGAGTTGTATATTTTACCCGAAGCAACATATAGGGAGGTTGTATTGTCGAATCCCATGCCCCGCAGCATCATGCCAACCTGCATAAATTCATTTAGCAAGGACATATCATCTCCAGTAAACCCCTTTTACATATTGAAATATTTTCAAAAGGCAATATCCACAGCGATAACCTAAGCTTAACCAACCAACCTGACTTGTTAACTGAATACAAAAAATGCAGGGGGGAATGCAATAACCAAGCCTATAACAATTTGAAGGAATAAGAATAACTTTGAAAACTGACTGCATGATTCAGTGCATACAAAGCAACTGTCTGTCCAACATAAAAAATGCTTGACTCCCACGAGCTGATCTACTATGGCAGTACAGCCTAAGAGGCCTAGACTCAAAATGTGTTTATAGTAGACAAAGACAAAGACAAAAGGAAACAGGAGGTCCTAACCTCTAAAGGAGTAAGAGGACACTTTCCATCCCTTCTGTTTGCCTCAGGGTTTATCACTCGACCATGCCGACGAAACTTCCCTCTCCAGCTCCTTTCACGAGCATTGTCCATTTCAGTTTTCTCCCTCCAGCCACCATCATATGTACAACATGAAAAGGCTACCATATCCTGAAACATACACGGTATTAGTAGGATGGGAAAAAATGTCATAATTGTGAACACATAAGAGAGACTTGAAACCTCTTCGAAGCGAAGATGCACTGAGACATACTTCCCACCAGTCAACAAACTCTTTTTTGTCATTCGACCAACTAAGTCATCTGAGAGAATTCTTATTGGTTCAGCAAATCTTAATGCATGGTAGTTTACCAAACACCTCAAGGCCTGGATGTTCAATGGAACTGACTGGGCTAATCTGTTTGAGAATGGGGCTAGGCGCACAACCCTGCAAAGAACAGAAAATAAAATGAAACTCATGCTTTGGCTTTGCCCCAGTTAAATCAAGCTCTCTTTATTTTTTCCAGGTTGGGTAGGGGGGGTGTTTTCCGTACCCTAACTCCAGCAGTTTTGGAAGAACATTTTGCACATAGTGGTTTGGAGATGAGTAGGCTTTAGTTCTCATATTTGGTATGCTGCTGATATTATGATTGAAGCGCAGCAAAACATCTTCAGGAAGTTTCTTCACAACTCTTACATGTTCTTTGAGTGTCTCAATGAAATGATCTTCGTCAAATATATCACCAAATTTGCTGAAAGAAATACATCAGGTCAGATAACAACATCTATATCCTCATGAAACTGTTTAATAAAGAAGTTTAGAAGCGATACCAATGATCATTCTCAAATCAGAATGTTAAATTTTCCAATTTAGTGTTTAGAACTTAGACAAATTGCTTCAGACAAAAAGACAGGAATCATAAATTACAAGGGTGTTTAATCATTGCAAGGAAACGAAGTAATAATCAGACAAATAATTACCTAGGATCACGCCAGACGCTATTCAGATGAAATGTTGGGATCACAAGAGTTGCGTTAAGCAAGCTGGCCACAGCAACAGCATCACAGATCTGCATTAGAAAACCTGAGTGAATAATTACTCAACATACTGAAGCTTCCAAGAACTTCAGAAATATAATAGATTAGCATCACAGCTAGTGGACAGGGACCACAGCAGCATTCAAAAGTTAGGATGAGAAGAAATATATTTACAAAAAACATATAATAGCACATATGGATAGTCAAGATAATACTCCAGATTGTTTCGGCAGGTCCAAGACAGCAGGCTTTACATTTAGTTAAGAAACTTTAAGGTCCTACTTCTCTAATGAAATAACCTTTTTTTCCTTGACAAATTCTATGCTGTTGCCAGTTCCATGATTTCATAATCAAACTGTTAAAGAAAGCCAGCTCCGTTGAGTACAGTGTACACTAACAAGAATACCCAAATCACTTATTGGTGGACCAAAAATTCACAAGGCACTGGACTTTCATACAAGGCAATGGCAATGGTATATCAAGCACACATTTCTCAAGAATAACAGTCTTGGTACTTACAGAAAGCCGTTGTTGATTTAGACCGCCATTTGCTTCGATCATGAGATAACCATTTGAGGGTGGCAACTCTGAAAATAACCAAAGTGATGTAATGTAACATATCAGTATTGGCTTAAACCCATGCCTTGACTATCTCTGCTCGCCCAGTTATTAAGATTATGTGGCACAAGAATAGAAAAGAGTATATTCCAAGCGCATATAAATGATTTATGAAACCATACAAAGGTTTCAAAATGGTACCTGATCGAGTCAGCCTACTGTTGACACAAGGCATCCATGGCTCCCCAGAATTCTGGTAATGTGATGTCATTAACTGTATATGCCAAAACGATAATTTGTTAATGTTAAGAACAAAATCATCTAATAAATGGTCAAAGATTGGTTCCCACAACGGACAAAAGTAGGCAATGCAATAAGGTAATCATTCTACATGTGAACACGTTGCCAGGGAAGTTTACTGATTTATTTTTTAATTTAAAAATGAAAGTGAATAACAGAAGTTTACTATTGATTGACTTCCAGATTATTGTATCCGAAGCATGTCTCGTTGGAACTAAAAGAGGCTTAAACTGCAAGCATTAGGTTTCTTGTTTGGCGAAGCATATACAGCTATGAGACAGTTTGTTACTTAGGAGTACGTTGAACTCTTGAGCATCAGAGAAATACGTAACTAAATAAGGTACTAAGATATAGGAGTACTAAAGAAATGCACACAAGAATCCATGGTCCGAAACTGGCGAGAAAGAAACACGGGGCGGCCCAAAAACCAAGAAGCATTTCTTTTGTATTATTGAGCTAAAACTCACAGCAAGAACACCACCCGACGAAACAAGAACACATTGCCCACGCATCCTGTGAATTCGCAGAGCGGAAGCAGGAAAAGCGTGGCGAAACTCGCCGAATGTTTCGCTTAATCCTCGCCACTCAGCAAAACGCAGGAAGAGACCGAGCGTTTTTGGGGGGCAAAGAAGCAGGCAAAAGGCACGCGAGAGACCGAGACGCTCACCATGCTGCGGCGCCACGAGGCCGAGGCGGAGAGGGAGGAGGCGGACGCGGCGAGCGTGGCGTCGTCGCGCATGGCCGGCCAGAGGCGCTCGAACACGAGGTGGCTGCGGTACACCGACCCTGGCTGAGCATGAGGTGGCTTCTCGTCCGCGGGGCCTGGGCGGGGGCGGCGGCGGAGGGAGGAGGCCACCGTCACCGCCGCCGGGCCCGGGCCTCGGCCTCCCGCCGCCGCGGCCCCGCCCTCGGAGCCGGCGGAGAGCCTCCCGCCGAGCAGGAACACGAGCAGCCCCGCGGCGTAGACGAGCGCGAGGAGCAGGGAGGCGGCGGCCGCGGCGCGCCTCCGCGCCACGCGGCCGCCGCCCGGGCGCCGCCACGCGGCGGGCTTGCGCGCCGCGGCCGCACCCGCACCCGCGAGGGACATCCGTCAGCAGCGGCGGGGCTGGGGCTCGCGCGGGACCATGTGGTGTGGCCTGTGATCGAGCTTGGGGTTGGGGGAGCTGGATGGATGGGAACGGCCGGAAGGAATGAATGGCGGGCGGAGCAGGGCTGGGGGAGGGAGGAGAGATGGAGATGGGGGAAGCGAGACGAGGAGAGAATTGAGAAGAGAAGCGCGGCGCGAGGTGGGTTCTGATTTGTTTTGTGCGTAACCGTCGGAATCTGCGTGGCCAAATGACGTGTCATCGTGGGATCACCTCGGGTTGCCTATGCTGCACACTGCTAGCTTTGATTGTTTGCGCTCTTGGTGCGTGTAGCCGGCTTTGGTGCTTCATGCGACTAGCCTTCTTCAAATTACTCTGGCAGACATTCTCATTGCTGAAATTGCTGAAAAGACTAGGTGAAACCTTGATTATAAAGGACTAATGTGTGCATCTTGATTGCACAAGAAATTGCTGAAATTCTATGTCATTCCCATTGCTTAAAATTTACTTCAGCTGTTCCTGGTTGAGATTATAAGTATTTTTGGCTATCGTGGGTACATCGTTTTTGCTATTATAGCGGATATCTAGGTGCATAAGTTTAAGGGGTGTTTGGATCCAGTGACTAAAATTTAGGAGGTGTGTCGTGAAGATGTTGCATGGGGTGTTTGGATACTAATAAAAAAATAAATTACATAATCCGTCAGTACTCCACGAGATGAATTTTTTAAGCCTAATTAATCCATCATCAGCACATGTTTACTGTAGCACCACATTGTCAAACCATGGACTAATTAGGCTTAAAAGATTCGTCTCGCAAATTAGTCGTAAACTATGCAATTATTTTTATAATTAGTCTATATTTAATACTCCATGTATATGTTCAAATATTCGATGAGACAGCGACTAAAATTTAGGAGGGGCAACCAAACACCACCTTAGAAAAAGTCAAATCAACATATAATTTAGGATGGAGCGAGAGAGATAGAGCAAGAATATTTAACATTTGACCATTTCCTCTTCAAACCCCCCTTTTTGTTATCATGTATTAAGTTGTTGTAATTTTAGTAATAACGTTAGGACGCATGATATGGTGTGTACTTATGCTTATTCTTTTCTCCTCCGTAACAAGTATGTACTTAAAAACTACGGTGTTACATGCTTTGTCTTTTAACATGTTGATTGGAAAAGTGGAAAACAGTCCGAGTCCAAAAATTCTAGGACTACAAGTAATGAAAAATGTGACTAATCTAGAAGAGACTAGGTTGTGTCTTTCAACTAAGGAGGATTTGAGTTGAAGAGAACTTAAATCTGGGTGGTTATCTCCAGCAGATCTCCTATTCCTTCTTCCCTATAACCAGTTATAGAAGATCTCTCAAAAATAACTTTAAGATATGTGATACCTTCGCTCCAGCATATTGCCAAATCCTCATTCTAATTTAGGATAGGGAGAGGTATCTCCTTTGTTTAGGATAGATGGTGGTGGATTTAGGATATCTCCTAAAGAATCAGGGATGGAAGATGTGATATGAGATTTGCCGCAGCTGTTACATTTTCTATTTAAAGGGCAGGAGAGGGTATAAGAAATCTAGTAAAAATGCTCTTAGAACCATAAACATGTTAACCTATATCACACTCAGACATCTTTTTTATGACATCTTTTATCACGTCTATTGGTGCACTAAAACAATGTCTTGTCTTTTTGGCATGCCATATGACAAGGATAGCACACGCCACAGGAACGCCTAGAGACCTAAGGCCGGCACACGAAATCTATGAAGTCCACGGAGCTTCTGTTTTGGATGGACTCGGGTGCCGCAACTTTCAAGTTTCAACCGTCCGCCTCTCGATGGACATGACACCGTGGCGTTTAGCACGCACGCAAGCCCCCCGCGCGGTGACCGGTGAAGATAGTGGCAGGAGTGGTGCCGGCACCAGGAGAGAGGACCAGGAGGTTTCGTTAACCTCATTTTCCGGTTCATCATGTCAAAGTCAAAAAAAAAATCACCAACTGATGATAGATTAACTACCAATATATAGTCTGTTCGCTTGCTTGTAAACGATCGTAAATTTTCAATCGAAAATAGTGTTTTTCTTTCACACCAAACCAGCCAGCAGTAAATAATCCACGATACGATACGGCCTCTCGAACAGGCTGATAATTGCCTTTGCCAACCCACTCCTGGGCGGCTGCTGACTGCTGTAGTGACCATTGCTGCACTTTTACTGCCACCAAACAAGACGGCGCGAAAATCTGGCGGTAGCTTGCGTTCAAAAATCTGGCGGTAGTTAAAGTAAGAGAAGCCACGTGGATTTTACGATGCTCTCGATCATAAAAACAACATTAGCCGGACTTATTAGCCTAACTTATCAATCATGATAAAGTGATTTTTTTCTCATAACAAAACACACCGCCCACCGAACTACCTCATAGATTGTGAATCCGGGACGTGCTGCTGTCAAAATTCTTGTAGCGTAGCAGTACTATGGACACCCGTTGTCTGTCTCTCGTTTCAAAACGAGAAGAGGGGAAGTGCACCTGCATCTATACGGCCTTGATCACTGTGCCCCTGTCCTCTTGGGTCAACTGCCGACCGTTGCCTCCTGCCTGCGCTCTGCGGAAGCCAATGCCACTCGTGGTACCCAGGCGGCCAGGCCCATTGCTCGGCTTTTCTGCACAGGAGCCAAAAAGGCAGAGGAAGCATGCATGCATGCTCGGTGCTCCAGCTCCAAAACGTTTTTGCATCTCATCGATCCTCTGTTTTTTTCCAATTACATAACACAACTCAGACACTTACCATGCATACACACTCATCCAGTGGCGGAGCTAGGCTGGCCCAACGCCTAGGGCCACTCCATGGACTCATTTTAGTAGATTAATTGAGTCTCTTTGGAATAGCGTGCTACAGTGTGAAGAAAATGGGCCAACGCCTAGGGCTGTGGCCATAGTGGCCCTAGGCTTATATCTGTCACTGCACTCATCCCTAAAAACACACGTAAAAAAACTACCTTCATGAGCATCTTCCAAGACTCCGACAAATGCTCGAGATTGATGAAATTACCATAGGCAAGGCACTGTTGACTGGAACGTCGCCTATTATGAAAGTCTAAAAGCACTGATGCTATTAAATCCTATAATATTTGTCCCACAGGATAATGTAATTTTAGGTTTTCCTTCCGTCCACAAAAGAATATAATTATCGGATATGTGTGAGTCAAACTAGTTTAATTTTGACGGAGTTTATATCAAATAGTATTAACGTTTATGTCTCCAACTAAATTTATTACGAAAATATATTTCATAATAAATTTAATATTATTTATTTTATATTATAATTGTTAGTGAATTTTTATATAATTTTGGTCAAACTTCAAGTCAGTTATTTTGTGGGTGGAGAGAGTACTTTCTCCGGTCGGGTCTAACTATCTAAAATTTACCGAATTTATAACGGGCTTGCTAGCACCCTGATGTCCGAATGGACGGGGCATCTGGACACCCGCACCTGCAGTGATTTTTCCGCACCATTTTGCACGCCCACATGGAGGCCGCGTCGCCCCGAACGTCACCAATATCGAGAAGAGAGGGAGGAGTCGGCGGATGCCCAGCCGGCGCCAGGAGGAGGAGACACCAAGACGAGGTAGCAGAAGACGAGGAGGAGAAATGCAACACATGATCTAATTTTGAAACATTCATTCAGATACAACACTTGCAACATACGTTTGAAGACAGATGAAACATTTGAAATATTTGTAAAAACACCTGACAAACACTTGAAACCATTGCAAAAACATACATAACATCCAGATAAAATACTTACAAACATATGTGTGAAATGTAACATCCAGATAAACATCTTACAACATACATCTGAAAAATAGATGAAACATCACGAATAAAAGCTTGCAACATACGTCTACAACCATTGCAACATATGCATCATCTCGATCTACTTTTGCAATATCCATATGAAACACTTACAACATACCTCTAAAACATCTGAAACACTTGAAACAAACTCTTGCAACATGCGCTTTCAAGCGCAACATCTACTTGCTGCTTGGACAAAACTGGAGGCTCGTCGACATGGGGCTCGACGCCGCGCGTGGAGCTTGATGCTATGGAGTGGCGCAGATGTTGCCGGTGTGGAGCTCATCGGCAGCACGGACCTCGGCAGGGGTCGCAGTAGGCGAATGGAGCGTAGCTGCAATGGGGGGCGTGAGTACGGGCGGGGGCGGCGCGGGGGAGGGCGGGATCCATCCCGCGAGCAGGGGCACGCGGCGCGAGGGAGGGCGAGATCCGTCCCGCGAGCAAAGGCGTGTAGCGGGCAGACGCTGCAGAGCGAGCGGTCAATGCAAACGGGGGCAGCACGGGCGAGGTCCGTTGGGCGACGCGGGCGGGGTCCGTCTAGACGGACGGACAACAGGAGCATTACCAAATTTATATAAAACTAGGTAGCGTGTCCGTGTATTGCTATGGGACAACTAAATCTTTTGTACTAAAACACACAAATCGCACGATAAGATAACAATACTGTGAAATTAAATACCGACGTTAAAGTGACATTTAATTCAAAAAGCAAAGATCCTGAAATTAACACAGTCACGGAGAGCACGGCGTTGCATACTCACAAACTCTAGTGTATAGATTTTTCTGTGATACGGCTAAAATATTATTTTAAATCGGCAGGAAGAAATCATAAATATCCATTTCTTTCGTGCGTCAATAAATTTACGAATAAGTTCTGCCGCATCTCCATATCATCCTGTACATAGGCTCGAGTACATATGTAAATATTAGTGCCTGTCACATGGGTAATACTGCGTGCCTTAAAAATCTCTCATAAAATCTTAAAACAAAGTATGTTATACTCATCGTATAAATATGTGTGGCTTTAGGATTATTTCACACAGACATATATTGTAAAATAAGGTATCCACTTGAGTGTCTGTATCAAGACGTTGAATTAGGTGTTATAATTCTTAATTTCGACACATTTTTCAGGTC